GGTTGCAACCAGCGGTTGCAATCATTTTTATATGACGCAAAGATGGTAGCAACCATCATCAAAAGTTGCAGCCGGTAACCTTAATGCAGTCTCAACAAATTTCAGGGCTGCACTACTCCCCCCCTAAAATTTAACATCATTGTATCATCAGGAGACCAAGTCAGTTTAGCCTTGTGAACATGAGGAACAATGTGAGAAAGACTGTAATGTGACAAAGTAGTGTATGTGCCTTGATGTCTGTGAAGTGTACAATTATGAAAATGTTGCATATTGAATTGTTTCTTCTGTAACAGTTGTATCACCTTGACATCTTATAATTATTTAATATTAATTTGTGATCCATGAAATATCTGCAAAATTTTCATCAGAATTTGGCGCAAAATTTTGCAGATCACAAATTAAAATTTTCTGGACTCCAACTTTCACCCCCAATGTAACCACCCTTTATGTTTATATAAACTAAAATTGTACTTTTAACACATGATATGAATCTTGAAGTTTAAATATACAAATTTTCAAAGGGACTTTCTTATAAAATATTTTATGTTTATATGTAGGAATCGCTGGATAAAGCTCCTCACAAGCTGGCTCATGCAGAGCCTTATCCAGCGATTCCTGCCTAAAATTACTATATAAAATTTAAAGGTTTGAGTAATCAACTAAAAATATTTATGATGTAAAAATGGGTGTAGAATTAATTTTATCCAATAAAAATATAAATATGTTATTTCTATTTAGTTTTTAATAGTTACTCTTTTTAAAATAAAATAAAAATTGTCATGGTTGTGTAATTTTCTTGACTCACATTGGTCACGTGAGGTAATGTCAGATTCTCAAAACTCCTGGAAATTATAATGTTTATTATCGCCACAAAAACATATTAATGATTGGCAAATTTTTGCAGTTGTTTCACAGATTACAAATTAAACTATTTAATTCTCAGCCAATTAACATCATTGTGTATATATATACACATGGTCATCTCAATCATCATCCCAAAAAACTTTGCTTTGATTTAATTTTGTTAAATTTGTCTTTCTCTTATTTCAATTAAAATGAACCATGAAGTCTCAACTCTACACATGGCAAACAAAAGATCATTATATATTAGTGAAAGACAAGAACCGTGATGAGAAATATTACTGGTGCTGTGAGTGTAAAGATGCATATAGCTGCACGGGAAGAGTGACAACAGTTTTAGAGGGCCAGGAACATGTGTTGAAAAAGTTTAAAGAACACAATCATGCACCAGATGCAAGTCGTGCAGAAGTAGTCCAAGCACTTGATACAATAAAAAGAACAGCATCTCAGTCACATGATTTGCCAGTTCAAATAATCCAAAATACTGTAGTTAACATGTCTCAAAGTTCTTATTCCAATATGCCAGGTAGAGAGGCATTACGTAAATGAATTGCATGCGTTAGAAATGAAAACATACCATCTCAACCACAATCATTGCAAGATATTGATGTTCCCACCCATTTGCACACAACCATCAGTGGTTGGGGTGTCTCACATCATATGATTTACAAACATAGTTGATCACATATATAAATTTTCATTAATAAGTATTTTTTAGGGGTTTTGCGGGTTTATTATTATTTTTTTGGTGCCACAAAAAAATTTTTTAAATTTATTATACAAATTGGCAAACTTCGCAAAATTACAAAACTCAAAATAACTCTTAAACTATATGTTATATTCAAATAAAAATTTATGATTTAGATTCACTTTTTGATGCTCTTTAAACTAATAGAGAGCTTTTTACAATTTTACTTGCATAAAATTTTGTAACATATATTCACAACTTTTACTTTGATTTTCTAGCTTAAAATAAATGCCATTGTTTATATTAAAATAAAAAAAAGGGCTCTATTACTTTATTGTCCTATTTCTCTAGTATGTTTTAAACTTAACTCGGAGTCAGTATCTCTATTCTTTAAAGAGTTATAATCATTCAAAGTTTACTATTGAAAAAAAGATCGGCAAAAAATTGTCATATATGAAAATTTATATATGTGATCAACTATGTTTGTAAAATCATATAATGTAAGACACCCCAATGCATGCTATCTTGAACTTTACAGTCATTCTCTCATATTCCTTGTGTTCAAAAGACTAATCTGACCTGATTGATTGATGATACAATGATGCAACAGAATTCCAAGGGTATTGTGTGGCTTTGGAATTTACCAAGATTGCATTGATCATCATGGATGTTTTACTAGTCTTCCCAGACTAGAGATGGCCACTGGCATGCTGGTCAAAAAGTTGCCTACTCTAGGGCAAGGATGGTACTGTGATCAAGTTGCAACTCTGGAGGAATATAAAGAGAATCTGCAACTTGTTCCAAGCACAGGAGGTCACAATTCAGAGCAGGGTTGGTGGCCCTGAAATTGCATTTGGACTCTGATGTTAAGAGGAAGCTGTAAAATAAAATGGTTTAGATTTTGTTTGGTATTTCTAAGGCTTTATATGAGCCAGCTCGCAAGCTGGCTTGAGAACTTACTAAGTTATTTGGCTTGTGAGGAGCTTTAGGTATGTTACATACAAATTAATAATTTTCATAAATACTCTGTTTTCTTTAATTTTTGTTTGACCAACTGAACTTCTTATTTAAATTGGGGGTAAGGTTGTTGGTGAGTTGGTGTGCCACCAACAAGACAGCAACCCAGGACTCAGAATCTGATTATTATTTAAAAAAATAATCAAGGTATTAGCATACTGATAAGTTAATATTATTCCTAGTATTTTTATCATACAGTCTAAAATAATGTTGTAATAGTTAGGATTGCTATTCAAATAAGGTTTATTCAAATAAAACAAATAATTTGAGTAAAAATAATTCATAATTTAGGTAAAAAATAAAGTGAATAAAACAAATAAAACAAATAATAATAATAATTTGAATAAAAGCAAATAAAGCAAATTTATATTATGAATAGAAAACATGCATTGATATTAAATCAAAAAACAACAATAAATAAACAAACAAATAGCTTTTATTGTGAAATAATTAATTTAGTTTCTTTGATGGTGTTAATGATTGAATTGATCACACAAGTATAGAGGTTTGTTATATGGTATAGAGAATTTAATTAGAAAATTTGTTATAGAGAGAGATTTTAAATAGTAAGATTTTGTATTTAAATGTTAAGTTCGTTATAGAGCATGACTGGTATAGAGAGGGTCATTATAGAGAGAGTGAACTATATTATTACCATTATCATTATAATGTATATATTAATTTTAAATATGATTGTTATTAATTATCATTATAATAATAAATAATCTAATTAATTAACTATTTAATTTCCTTATTAAAATTATATTTCATTAATATCAAGGTCACTTAATAAACTATCATTGCTTTTTAAGTTCAACTTAACAA